TTCACACACACGCACACATAAATCTTGCATTTCTATCAAACTGAGGACTTTGTATTGACTTCCATTCATTTTAAACTGCATTTATGCCTAACMCAGAYATTTTCTCTAACCCTAGCCATTACTAGTYTATTCTTAACCTTAATCAAATCTTARTTCACAGCATACCTCTAAACCTAACTAGTAGAGCACAGTAGAACTACAAAAAAGGCGAAGACTGGGAAAATGCCCACACTTCTCAAAAATGACATCACTTTGTTGGTTAAAACATATGACAGTCCTCACTCTGTAGCAAAAACAAGTGCACACACACACATTTTTAAAACTTTTTCTTGTTTTATTCATCTGATTCATGCTGATAGTTTTCAATTCATTAAAATTAGAAAGTGCAGACATTTCATATTGATAGCCCTTTTTGTAAGTAAATAAATACGTATTCTATGCTCAGTATATTTGAAAAGAATAGATTAAGATTTAGATTCTGTGTGATAAACATTTTGTATATGAGAAGGAATTAAAATGAATGAGAAAGATTTAATCAAACAACAGTWTTCTTAGAGCTTGACAATATTCAAAGTGATCTCAAAGAAATTTCATTTTGCAACATGACTAAAAAGCTATCCTCTGCTTTGCAGTTTGTTCTAATGAGATCACTTTCGGGCTTTGTTAATAATTGAAAACATTTTTATTCATTTAGGCTTTTGGCACTGCTTTGTACCCCAACACTTCCCTGACATTGCTCTCATTTATARATGTATCCCAAATGAGTCAAGCATTTTGTTGCTCCTCTACTGCAGAGTTCAGATTAGATGGAATATAAATCAGATGAYTGTCATAAACAACTTATTTCTGAGAGTTCGTCTTTGTGTTTGTATGTGTTACACCCCAGGGAAGTGCCATGCTGAACATGATTCKAGAAATCAAAATCATCAATAAGCTGGTTTGTTGGTTTCCAGATTGCCTTCATTATGAATGTTTTGTTTGAAATCCTTTAAGCCCCCACTTTATTTTACTTTTCTGGTGTTGTGGTGCAGGGCTGAACTGGAGTCAAATACAAAAACTGAATATTTGTAAGCCAATGTGCTCCTTATAGCAGGATAATCTGAAGCTCGTGGACAGATCTCCTTGTTCCTCTGAGTCCAATTATACAGTGTATGCTGTGTGAGCAGACAGGCTGTGGTGCAGATTTAGCCCCAGATCGAGCCAGCATCAGCCACCCCCTTCCATCCTCCCTCCGACACCTACTGGCTTCCTCATATATTCAGCTTTAGAAACGCATGGGCACACACAAACACGACACAGATGATTTGTTCAAATTTAACAAGCTGTCGTGTGCTGCTGTACGGTTGTTTACTCTGTCACTCGTCTAATTAAGGAAACACAAGTCTTTTATTGATGTGACCAATAGCAGGAAATTCTCCAGGCCACAGACACATTTTTTAAATTTCAATTTCTTTTACACTCATTCACGTGTCCTATTTTTATTAAACATATACTGCATAAATAACAAGTATTTCCAAGTAGTCTGTAGATTAGGGTGGCTCACCATGTGCACCCCACTCCTGAACTTCTCTGGTATTTTCATGTACCCTACGGTCCACTCTTTCAAAAAAAGCATGTTAACAGAAAAAAAAGTTGGGTCTCACTGCCCGCAGGGACCACTTTGTGACCACACCCCTTTATCATTGTGGCCAGCAAAATTAGGGGGACAGGAAATTTAATAGCCAATAACTTTGCTCTAACCAACCAAAATTTAAAAACAAGGTATCAGCAGATTCATATTGATTAGCTCTTTGATTTAAGTTAATTTTCATCAAACAATTGTGTGCTCGATGATGTCTTCGAGGGGTCAAAATGTCACTACACCAACAAAATATGAAAATTTTCATCTTTCTAGTCTTTAGGTTAGGGTGGGTCACAATGTGCACCCCACAACTGAACTTCTCTGGTATTTTCATGTCCTAGGGTCCACTCTTTCAAAAAAAGCATGTTAACAGAAAAATTTTTGGGTCTCACTGCCCCCCAGGTACCACTTTGTGACCACACCCCTTTTCCATTCTGATCRTCAAAGTTAGGGGTACAGGGAMCTTAACTGCCAATAATTTTGCTATAAACCAACCAAATTTTAAAAACAGKATATCAGCAGATTCATATTGATTAACTCTTCAATTTAAATGAYTTTTCATTAAACAAATGTGAACTCAATGATGTCATCAGAGGGTCATATTGTCACAACCCCAACAGAAGATGAAAATTTTCATCTTTTATCTGAGTTTACCACACAGATCCTAAATGTTCAACTTACTTTGCCTTTTCATGCACTATAGGATCCACATATTCAAAAAAAAAAAGTCTGTTAACAAAATAAAAGTTGTAGGTACTACTCCACAGGGACCAGTTTTTGACCACACCCCTACTCATTGTGTGCACAGTTCAGAATTTCCAGGATGTCAAACTTGCATGTAGATTTACCAGTTSAATAGCCCTATAGTAGGGAGTAGGGTGAGTGAGGAGCCTCTGATTGGGAAAGACCCAAAGTTATTAAAAATGAATGCATCTTGTATCTCGGGGCCGACTGCGGAATTGAGCAATGATTTTTTTCTCGGTCCACAGCGCTGTGTGGTTGCACGAGTCTCTTTACATTCAAACATTCAAGTCTTGTAAATATTTCAATTTTGTTGTGAACACGTAATGAAACACTGAACATGTTTTATATTTTTCAATAGCTTGGTTGCTGTGAAAAGTGACTGGAACTGTATGATTGATGCTTCCATTGACAGGAACACAGGATAACCTCATTTACCATCTGYTTATCACAGTCAGGGAGAATGATCTTGTGGATGTCTGGAGAACATTAAATCCAATTGGTAGACAGTAGACTTTGGGTAAATATTATTCATGTTTACCCAAGATTAATGATTTGAACTGTAAAACCAGTATGCTAACATTTAAAAGGCTTCAGTTAATCTTTAATCATTTTTAAAATCAATTGTCTTGTCAAATATCAATTGATATTAAAATGGTACAACATGGAATACTGAACTGTTTGCGTATTATTTCATAAATTATGATGCAGACWTGCTAATGACAGGCAGTGATGTTTGAGCTCCATGGTGCATGCCATTTCAAATGAGTTACATCATCATGTAAGAATAATTAAAGTGATTTCCTCAGCTTTATTTTAAACCACTGTCTAAAAATCGATCAAGAAATAATTTAATCAGAGTTTTTCTACAGGATGATGCCACAGAAGACACTGACATTTATTGGTTTTGTTGATGCTCTTTAATGCATAATATAGCTCCTGCGTGTGCACATCATTGTAGCTAGCAACCAAATTGCAACACCCCATCCAGTAATATATCAATATGTGGCTTTGATAACTTTTTTATGTAATTTGACAAGTGTCTTTGGTACATTCTTATTGGGGTGTACAATAATACACATCAAAAAATCCACAGTGCAACAGAAACCAAATATCTTGTATTAATATGATTTTTTAACTATACCAAACAATAAAGCCATAATTATTTCTTCAAAATAAACCAACAAGAAAAAGAACACATTCAAATCAAGCTTTTTGACAAACCCTAAAAATCCTCTCTAAAGCTCAAGGTCAACAGAAAAAGATGTAATACGTTCCATGTCTATCAGATGATTTTTCTGAAGTGGAGTTCTGGGAAGAAATTATATTCATTTAAGATCTTACCTAATTAATRAAAAAGCTCTTTGAATGACTTCAGTTCAGAAAACCAGTTTGATTTTGACAGGAGTGAGACGCTAATAGGTGGTCTGATGGGATTTCTGTCATTACATGCCTTTACATCGTCATCAATGTAGCACTTCATGGTTATTTACATAAAATTTGTTTGTGTTTATTTGATGTACAAAAAGCAGCAGCAACTAGCTGTCATGCTTCTGAGCCCACTTTTCCCAAACTTCTTGCATGAATTTCTTAAATGTACTCCTACCTTCAGATATAAGCAAATATTCCAGTTATCAAAATTCTTAAGACTAAGAATCACTTCCTCTCCCATTTATTTAAGACAGTTCTAGAGGTCTCTCAACTGGTTAAGAGTTGCTACTRGGGGTCTGTGATGGTTCTGAGAAGACGGAGATCACAGGTCCGCCTCAAAAATACATAGCACCACCTCGAAAACTGAACTAAATGAGCCAGGGGTACCCCCACCTGCATGTCATTCTTGGTTATAATGTACAGAGTACCTAAAATAAGGTGTGGAAAGTAGGTTTAGGCATGCAATACAAAATAAATAAATGAAATAAACAAGGGAAACTGAGTTTACCTACCAGTGCTCATAATGTTGGACTTAGCAAAGTCGACACAGCAAAGTGTTATAAATCAGCTATAAGACTGACACTTAAGATTTAGTCTTACACTTCTCTTAAACTGAGACTGAGACACTTGATAACTGACTTAAGTCCAGCTTTTAACCAATTTTTTTTACAGTCCTTTCTGAACAGCATTTTTTAAAATCTATTTTCTTATCTTAACAGCATTTTTAAGAAGTTTGAAAAATACAGGCCCTGGTCCAGAAGGAATATTACTGGTGGAATGACTATGTAATGTAAAAGTGACAATGGTGTAAAAGTTTTGTTAAAGACTTGAAAAAAAATTATATTGGCATTGTTTTTAAACGGCTGTAATCCACTTTGGTTTTTTTCTGCTTTCAGACAAGTCGTTAGCTCATCAGTGTGATCAGAATTAAACCATTTCTCCAAACTGAGGTCAGTCATAAAGCTAAAACAGCTAACATTCAGCTCCTAACGTTTTCCACAGAATTTGATGTCAAAATAACATGACTCATTTTAAATTTGTCTTAACCTGTAAAACCAATGATCTGAATTAGTTTCTTTAAGCTAAAAAAAGGATTATTTAAGTTGTAAAAAAACAAGTTACAATTTCCCCAGAAAATACAGTTTTCTCATAATGTTCTGAACATTTCCTGTGGCTTTGACATTCTTGCATTAAGACAGATTTGTGTGTTTGGAGTAAAGCYGTTTAGCATCAGCAGGTGGATAAGCAGGTGGATCAAGATTTCGATCCATTCGAAGCCACCATGTTCTGTTTGAGGGGAAAAATAGTCACACATCACTGGTTAGAAAAACTGAATATTTTTGATGTGGTTTTATCAATTATATACTTTTCAAGTGATTCCTTTTGCAGGGGTTTCTACAGTGAGTTTTATGTCAGGAGCAACCTGGGCTTGAATATGCAGCCTCATGATTTCAAAAACCGTAGCACTGATCAGAAAGCTATCTTATCCCTCTTGTAGTTTAATCAGTGATATGACTCATTAGAAAATGATTACTTACAGCATTGGTAAAGCTTGTTGATACGGGCGATGTCATTGGAGCTCATCTTCTTGGCACGTCCCCAGTCATAGTTAGGATCAGCCTTGGCAACGATGGTTGGCTTCTCATTTTTGGAGAAGGCATACCTTAAAGAAGGTGCAGTTAAATCCCAAACAATAATTAATAATTACAGAAAACATTTGTTGTGATTTATATTTAGCAATGTAATTCTATTTGGTTCCTTTTTAAAGAAAATAAATATTATTCCTGTGAGGCCTGTGTTACAATCGATGAGCATGCTTTGACAAAGATCAGCTAGAATATGACTGGTCTTTGCAGAGTTTGGGAGAAGCATTTGGGTGTGCAGTGTTCTCCCAATTACATGTGATTGAACACAAAAGGTTCATCGTGGTTAGAGCTGTCACYCCTCAGCAAGAAGGTTGCAGGATTACATGCCAGCCAGTAGCCTTTCTGAGTGGAGTTTTTGAGTTTTCCCTACTATTTAATTTTTTATATGATTTATTTTCCATAATCGTAAAAAACTCACTTGCTGTAATGCATGACGGAGTGGAAGTCATAGGGAGTTCCCAAGTTGTTTGTCTCCACCTTTCTGAAGTTTTTCACRTGTTCTGTCCATGAATCAGAGAAACAAAAGTTAAAAACTTGCCACATCCAAACTGCTGAAATAAGGCACCGTAAAAACTTTAGTAAACTATAACACAGATGCATAGCTTGTTGTTTCACAAATTTAAAAATTTTGTTGAATTAATTACATTTTTCCTGTGTGTGAGCTGACCTGGCTTAATGTTTTCGTAGTTGATCAAAACGTATTGGTCTCTGTCGGAGCGGGACTGCTCATGATGGAAGCCCAGAGCATGAATGACCTCGTGCTGCACTGTGGAGGGTCTCATACATTTTTTTCCCAAGGAGATGTATTGACCCTTATCCTTACGGCCAATAGGGGATGAACATCTGGCATGCACACATGAACACCAGTTAAAAATTGGATCAAAAGTCCATGGTTTKTACTTGTACATCTTTATTCATTAGAGGCATCATATAAAACAGAAGACTGAAAATACATGCAAATGTCAACTTATCAAGTCAAGACTTCATTTCTCTGATAAAACTTTTGCAGAGTACATACATTTCAGTCAGACTATTTGTGTAAATGTTAATTCAAACATTCATTTTAGAATGTGGCCTTAGCTTGACTTCAAAGCTCTGAACCTAGAACGATCATGTTGCTCAACAAGTCTCACCAGGCCCGGCACTCCCCAGGAGAAATGCTCTGCTTTGTTTGTTAGGTTGGACATTTAAAAAAAGTACATCAAGGAGAACAACATAGTTGTGTAAATTGAGCTTAAAGGACTTTATCATAGCAGCATGTCAAGCCTAAGATATGTATGTTCCCTGTCTGTGGTGCCATACTGCTTTCCCACACTTCACACACAGACGCATCCTTGTATTCGCATCAAACTGAGGACTTCGTTTTGACTTTCATTCATATTTGTAACTGCATTTATGCCTAACCCAGACATTTTCCCTGACCCTAACCAATATTCACCTATTCCTAACCCTAACCTGAACCAAAGCTTAATTCATACCATACGTACAGTATACACCTAACTACTGTAGTTGCAAAAAGGAACAGGCACAGGCACAGATATGGTAATACAATGTAAGTTTTAGCTAGCACTGATACTGAAGCTAATAGCGGTCCTGCTGTCTACAGGTGGACAGTTCAACCAGCCCACAGAGGCCTGATAATGGGTTCTGAATTAAAATAAATAAATCTACGTCTGATAAAAATAACAAACTGATTAAATGCATTACCTTGAACAATAGCTTATCTGAAATAACATTATTTTTATCATGCTTTTTTATTATGAATTCCTTTGGGATTAATTTGTTATAACCATAATTTTTCTCATGCTTATTAATATCATCAGTATAATCAGCAGAATTATTCTAAATATATTTTCAGGACTTTGGGTTTTTTATTAATCTTCCTTGGGCTAAAACTTGTTTAAATAATAAACTTTTCTCCTATTTTTATTGTCCTTTTCTTTTAAATATGGCTTTGAATAAAATTCAAACTCAAAAACTGACAACTGAATTTGTAACAATAAAACCGTTTGGAGGGGTGGAAGGGTTGCAGGCACCACAAAGCAGGCACTGAAATGGCACCAGCCCTAGTCCTGTGACATCACTCTGACCCAGATATGTGTGTGTGCTCTTACCTAGCCTTTGGTTCAAAGTAGATGTAATCACGATGAGTTGAATCCCATGGGACAAAGCGAATGCAGGTAGACAAATTAAAGCTCTTAAGTCCTCCAAGGATGATTTTGCGTTCTTCCTGAGCTGCAGGATTATTGAACACTTTAATTAAAACTTCTGTTTTCTTAAAGAAATCAAGCAAAATTGATGATAAATGCATTGGCTTATATAATTCTATATTATCTTTGCTTACTGTACTCAGTGGAGATGAAGTATGGGACATTGACATACTTTCCAGATTTGGGCCACTTGCAGTCTTCAGCGGTGCATGGGGATGCATTCGTGAGTGAATCATTCATTACAACAATGTCTCCAAACTCTATAGATATTTCTGTAACACAAAAAAGACACTTTTACAAAAAGAAAAAAAATCACAGCACGAGTTCAGCATTTATGTAATTATCAAATTTTATGAAAAAACATACAATTAAAAATGTTGCCATTGTTTTTCCAACTTTGAATTAAATTCAAGTTTTTTTTATTAAAACCCAAGTCATAAGGGCACTGTACACTAAAATCAATAAATCTAAAGAAGTCAGCAGATTGTGTTGGATCATCACTTCATCACAGTCTCCCATCCTGAGCAGCACACTGGCAACAGTGGAGAGGAAAAACTCCCTTTCACAGGAAGAAACCTCCAGCAGAACCAGAACCAGGCTCAGCCTTGACGTACATTCATTTATAAAGAGTCATGTAAGTAACAAAACCAATATGCTTTTGCACATGTTTAGGCTTGTCAAGAGACACATTTTAAAATATTTAGTCAGTTTACAAGAATTTAAAAAGATCCCTAAAAAGATCACTTCATTCCATTTGTCAGTCGTGTCCTTGGGCAAGGCAGTACACCTGCCTTGCCTGCTGGCAGTGGTCAGAGGGTTAGGTGGTGCTAGCTTATGGCAGCCCTGCTTCTGTCAACATGCTCCAGGGCTGCTGTAGCTGCATTGTAGTTTACTGCCTATTGGGCATAAATGAATGACGCATAAAGAATTGTTAAGTGTCGTTGAGTGTCTAGAAAAGCACTATATAAGGCTAATGCATTGTTATGACATGAATTTTCCACCAAATTGTTGACTCTGACTGTTCTCAACATCCTTCTCTTCTGTTTATTCCAGATTTTTCTTGGTTTGCCACTTGGAGCCTATACCTGAACTGTGCCTGCGGTCTTCTATTTTTTCACTGTTTCTCACAGTGGAGACTGAAAGCTGAAATCTCTCAGATAGCTTTCTGTATCCTTCCCCTAAATCATGATGTGAACAATCTTTATTTTCAGCTCATTTAAAGTTGTTTTGAGTCTCCCATGCTGCCACTCTTCAGAGAAGATGCAAAGAGGAGAAAAAAACTACAATTGCCTCCCTTAAATACCCTTTTTCATAAYTGGAGTCACCTGTGTGTGGAGGTCAAGGGTCACTCAACTTGCTAAACCAAATCTGAGTTCTAATAATTAGTTCTAAAGGTTTTGAAATAAATAAAAGGCAACAGTGCCCAAATTTATGCACTTGCCTGCTTTTGTTTAACAAATTATTGCACAGTTTCTGTAAATCATTTAAACTTCATTTCACTTCTCAAATATCACTGTGTTTGCCCCCTATATGATGTATTTTACAGATTTTTTTATCCAAAAAATCAATGATTTATAAAGTTAAATCAGGAAAATTAACAAGGCTGCCCAAACTTTTGCACCCCACTGTATTTTTGTGGAGATGATTGAGTTGAAAACCCACTGTTCTATAAGGATATATCTCAGCAGTTCTTAAAAACAACCAAATAGTAGCCTTATTAATCATAAAGGCAAACCAGTACAGTTAGTTCACAGACAATATGTGACCCATCACATAGTACTGAGGATTAAGTTACAAAGTGATTTTTCAAATGACATCAAATTTTTAAGAGAATTAGGAAAATTAGAATTAAGTTATACTAATTAGCAAGACAAATCAAGCCAACACTCTGGAACCGTGAATTATCAGAATCAAAATGTAGTTTAAAAAGCCAGGAAACTGAAAATGTGTTTTGTTTATTTTGACTAAAGCTGATGTAATCCTTGGTTGAATGTGCTGGGTCACATTTTAGTTTTCAACATTAAACTGAATATAAATCATTTAGTAAAATTCTTGAGAATTTGGAAGTCTTGAAGAACTATTTTTAATAATTGCACAAATTACTATTATTTGACATGCTTTGTTAAAGCATGCTATACCATGATTTAGTCATTCAGCAGGTTGTTACGTTTCTGTCATTGTCTTTTAAAATGTATGTTAAAACAGTATGTTTTGACATTTGTCCCACTTACCTAAGTCAGGATTAGGTTTTGGGGCTTGAAGGATGAACTCAGATCCATCTAGAGAACAAATGAAAGAAATGTTACTTTAGATTTAAAATATTTGTTTGTCAAGTATTCGATACATAAAACTTTTTTGTGATTCAGCTCACCAGGTTGATTCTGAGTTTTGGCTGGTGCACTCTGAAACATAAAATATTAAAATTGTTCAAATGTTCCCTGTAGTTAGCTCTGCATTTCAGGCACACAAATCTCAATTGTCTTTATTAAGAAAGCTAAAGAAATCATCACCAAACTCCTGTTTTTGTTTTCACAGTTCTTGTCAGTTTAGCAATTTTGTATTCTTGCACTGAGTCATAGAAATAGTTCAGTTTTCTATCATGTCCAAACTATCAGTCAAACCTACCAGAGAAACATCTGCCACTGAGAGGAAGATGAGGAGGAGGAAAACTGGAGTCATGATTAGCAATCTTCTGCAAACAAACTTATGAGCAAAAAAAGATAAATAGAAATCAATAAAATAATAAAAAATAAACACATGTTTAAAATGTTAAAATGTGTTTTTTGTACATGTGCTGCAGATTAAAATGAATGTTATAAAAAGATGAGTTTACCTGATGAACCAGGAGTCTGATGCTGGATGCATCTGCTGGTCACATCTGTTTATAACTCCTTTAGACAGGAAATTAGAAAAGAGGTCAGTTATCAGAATAGATCTTGGTTTGTGACAAGAAGAGTAAAGAAATTAAAGTCGGTTGAAGTTTTCAGAAAGAAAACTCTCACATTGCAATGTTGAATCAAGAGTGTATAATTAGCAAATGCAGACACTTACAACCTTGTGAGTAATGCACTGAATACATGTAAAGAGTTTTAAAACATTTTGAAACAACTTAGTGCTTTTAAATCGTTGTGATTTTTCTTAATAAATGTTTTACTATATTTAATTGAATATATTTATTTATCTTCTGCTGCTGTGAAGTGGTGGCCTGAAAGGCTTCAGTGTAAATTTAGAGGACAGAATATGGTCCTGTCGGGACTTTATTTCTTTACTTTTGCAAAGCACCTGCTTTTCCCACAGGACCACAATTATCTCTGATGGACCCCGATTATTTTGGGGAAACTTTGACAACGCTCTAAAGGCTGCTAATGTCATTCTGCACTCTCTTTAATAGCTTGCAGTCTATACTTGTTTTAATCTACATGTTTGTATTTTGTAATTATTTATATTTTTAACATGTTTTTTTGTCTTTTTTCAATAGAAAATTACACCTGAACTAGTCAGTTGGTGTTTGTCTGCATCTCTTTCCTCTCCCTTGAAACCTAACTGGTTAAGGAAGATGGCTGAGGTTTCTTTCTGTTGAAAGTGAGTTATTTTCTTCTCGCTGTTGCCTATCTTCTGCTCAGGATGGGAGGCAGAAACAAAATGAAGATTCAATGCAGTCTCATGGCTTCCTTTTATTGATAACTTTCTGATTGGCTTTATATAAGTTAATGTTTTTGTACAGTGCCCTGAAACAACATTTGTTGTGAATTGGCGCTACATAAATGAACTGCATTGAAACTTTTAGACAAGCCAACAAACAAACAAATCAGTTGTGTCATGTAAACTCAAACTGATTTAATAAACAAAGAAACAAGAGTTTGACCAGCGTTTGTATTCCCCTGTTGGTGCAGACCTTATATGCAGGTGTGAATACATTCAACCCTGGTGCCGACCAAACAACTCGAGATTCACTTTGAGATGGTCTTGGTCCATTTCCTAACAAACTCTGCTGCGGTCCAGATGGAAATCACCAGGCAGCATGCGGCCTGTGGTCCACCAGTTGAATAGCCCTGCCCTAATATAAAGGAACAACGATGAAGCAACTGGACTTCTGTTCTGTAGCTGAAAACGTGTGGCGTTAGAAGATTTAAACTACATGACTTGAGGTTAGTTTACTCGTAAGAAACTATTACATTGATCCACTCACTCTCACTTCACAGATGAAATGCAACACAAGTGTCACTTGTACAGTCACTTTGGAAAACATATGGACTGGATTCAGTACCACATTCTAAAAAGATCTGCGTCAGATTTGAAACAATCAAATTTGKTATGTTCAGACTGTTGTGAAAAAATCTGATGGGGGCAGAAAAAAAATCTGATTTGGGTTGCATTTACCTCCAGTGTGAATGCAGCACAGGCCTAACAAGAATGGAGCAAGTGAATAACAGGACTTGCATGAGTGTACAGGTCTGCAGCCTGTGAATGTGACTTTTAAGACTGACTGTCATTTGTGTAAGGCTGTGTTCAAGGCTGGTGAAAAGCTGATAGATCATCTGAGCCTTACCCAAGGAGGATCTACAGAACAACTAGAGTGCTCAGAAACCACGTGACCATGTGATCGGCTAGTGAAGGTAACGCTAACACAAAACGGTCAAGAGTCTGGATTTACCATTACTGTACATGTTGACAACAGAGCAGAAAAAAGGACTGACGATGAAGAAATTATTAAAACTAATAATAATAATATTAAACCAATTATTACCTCTGCCAAGGGGGCAAGTAATGTTTTCGGTCGCGTCTGTCTGTCTGTCTGTCTGTCTGTCTGTCTGTCTGTCTGTCTGTCTGTCTGTTGTTCTGTCTGTCGTTCTGTCTGTCTGTCTGTCTGTCTGTCTGTCTGTTGTTCTTTCGGTGGACAAAATTACTCACAAACGTGTGGACGGATTGTCATGACATTTTTACCACATGTGCGTACTGGCCAAAGGAACACACCATTAAATTTTGGTGATGTTCCGGATCACAATGCAGATACAGGAATTTTTTTCTTTTAATTTGAGCGAATCAGCCAGGCTACGCAGTGTCATTAGGTCAGACGCATGCCTGTATGAAACAGGAAGTACAAATCGCAAACTCGCTGGGACTACACATCCCAGGATGTCTACTATCRCGAACGTTGTGATTATTTTGTTATCAACACTACTTCTGGTGATGTTACATGCTGTCTGGAGAYGTAGAAAAAGAAATGAGATTCTCTTCACATTACGGGAATAACAGGACACCGACAGCGGGAGGAGGGTCCTGCTGCAGCCGAGCCGAAGCTGGACTGTCTGGAAAAGCTGATTAACCTTGTCTGTTACCCATCTACATAAGAACTTTATTGTGTGATTGCTCTGAAGTTCATGGGAGTGTTTGTGTTGAAAGCGTTCACACGCTGTGTTTTGCTTCAATCACTCGCTTCAAAATAAAAAATTAATAAATAAAAATATTTCATGTTTTTCACTCGCTTCATGAGCCGACTGTACCAGGAAGCAGTTTATAAAGAGAGTCCAACCATTACAAACTCATAAAAGGGGATAAAACAGACGTTTTACACATTGAAATGTGACCGATGAAAACTTAGGAGCTTAATCCGACACCAGTTCGATGATGAATAATGCCGGGTGACGAGTCTGACTTTTTTTTTTCACATTGGACTCCACCGGGAAGAAATCCCGTGCATACTGCCTGCTTACAGTAAATGTTCGCTATGTCAAAACTTATTGGGCAAATGTGTTTCCATCTCTGCTTTTGTGCATTCACTCTATTACAGGATGGGAGAAATTGGTCTTGGTGGAGGTTTGCACTCTCCGAGTGCTTCTAGTTATTAATCTTTTACAGTTTATATAACTTTATATAAGTATACTGGGGTGAGGGGCTGGTCGGTCGGACTGGTGCGGCCCGGGCCGGGACTTGGCTGTCTGCTCTTCGCCACCTCAGATTGAAGGGGTCTACCTCCTGGGTTCAGGTGTGAGCTGCCCTCTGCAGGGGGTGGGTGCATATCCTGGACCTAGGGAGTATAGAGTATGTATGAGGAGTGTGAGTGGATTGTGACGTCCACCTTGTGTGTCTTTGAATGAGTGGGTGAGAGGATGAGGGCGGGACTGTGTGATTGTGTTTGTGTATGCTTGTATTTTTGTCAGGCTGGGACTTGGGCAGCCTCTTCTTTGGGATCATTTGAGGGCCCATTGCTCCCCTGCCATGCTGTCCTCTGGTGGGTTGTGCCTTTGCCCGCCGGCACACTGGTGGCTTTCGTTGTCTGGGGCTGGGTGCTTGGGCATATGCCGGCTCAGCCCGGTGGCTGCCCGGTGGGGCTTGGGTCCCTCTGGCCCTGTCGGGCCTTGGCCTGGGGGGGCCAGGGTGGGCCTCTGAGTCCGTGCCTGGATCCGCTCTGGCACGGTGGGTGCCGGCGGGGCCTGTGAGTTCGTCGCTGCTGGCCCCAGGGGTTACGGTGTGTGGTCGCTGGTGGGGCTCTCCCGGTTCTCTCCTGTGGTCCCCTTTGGGGGGTGGGTGGATGGCCCTTCCAGCGCGGGTGTCTCTGGGGCTGCGCGCTTGAGGTCCCTCTCAAGGTCTTTGGCACTGGTCTCCCTTATGTCGGCTTCCGGCTTTGCGGGTCGGGTCTGTGGTCCTCCTCAGTCACTTTGAAACATTCCACTGGAGAGATCTTGTATATACATGCATGCACACAACTGCACACAAACAGGTGTTAACATCCTGGGTTTTCTATTTGGACACTGACTGAATGGTATGTGAATATGTGCATGTATAGATAATGTATATGTG